TGTGTCTGGCTTTAATCCCAGCACTTTGGGAGGCGGAGGCAGGAGGACTGCTTGAGCCCAGCAGTTTGAGACCAACCTAGGCAACAAAGGGAGACTTTGTCTAAAAAAAAAAAAAAATTAGGTGTGGCAGAATGCACCTGTAAAGTCCCAGCTATTCGGGAGGCTGAGGTGGAAGAAGGTCAAGGCTGTGATAAGTCATGATCATGCCATTATATTCTAGTGCGTACAACTGAGTGAGAGCCCGACTCAAAAAAAAAAGGGAACAGAAGCAATCCATGAACACAGTGCCATGAACCTTGAGTGGACTTGGGTCAGCTGTCATGGAGGTGCTCCTGCTAGATGGAACTCAAAGTTGGGTTTGTGGGTCTGTGCTTCCACCATGCTAGCCTTCTTCTCTCTAAATATTTTTCTATTTAAAATCTGCAAAGTTAACTGGACGCGGTGGTTCATGTCTGTAATCCCAGCACTTTGGGAGGCTAAGATGAGACAAGCCTGGGAAACTTGGTGAGACCTCGTCTCTACAGTAAATCAAAAAAATTAGCTGGGTGTGGTGGCTCATGCTTATAATCCCAGCACTTTGGGAGGAGGAGATGAGAGGATTGCCTGAGCCCACAGGTTTGAGACCAGCCTGGGCAACTTGGAGAGACCTCGTCTCTACAATAAATAAAAAAAATTAGCTGGACATGGTGGTGTGCACCTCTAGTTCAAGCCACTTGGAAGGTTGAGGCTGAAGGATCGCCTGAGCCCTGCAGGTCAAGGCTGCAGTGGCCGTGAGCGTGCCACTGCACTCCAGCCTGGGTGACAGAGAGACTCTAACTCAAAAAAAAAAAAAAAATCTGTAAAGTTGACTGTCTGAGTTTTCCAGTAAGATCGTGAAAGGTGCTAGCTGGGGAGGGGCTTGCAAACACATGAAAGAGAATCCTGAAATGGGTGTTGAAAAGGGACTGAGCACATGGGGGAGAGGGGTAGCATATGAAAGGGCCCAGGGCTATATATGTGTGGGGAACAGGGAAGAGGGTAATTCTCACTTTCTTGAGGTTCTCAAGTAAATACACTCTTTATTTCATGATAGAAAAGCCTGCTTGATAATAGCCAAGCCATGGAATCAATGCAAGTAAGTGCCCATTAACAGTGGACTGGATAAAAAAAAGGAATATACATACACTATAGAATACTATGCACCCATAAAAAGAATGAAATCTTCAGCCAGGTGCAGTGGCTCAAGCCTGTAATCCCAGCACTTTGAGAGGCTGGGATGAGAGAATTGCCTGAGTCCAGGGGTTCGAGACCAGTCATGTGCCACCATGTCTGGCTAATTTTTAAATTTATTGTAGAGACACAGTCTACCAAGTTGGCCAGGCTGGTCTAGAACCCCTGGACTCAGGCAATCCTCTCGCCTCAGCCTCCCAAAGTGCTGGGATTACAGGCTTGAGCCACCGCGTCCGGCCTCAAGTATCTAATTTAAGAAGTAAAAATGCAAGTACCTACAAAAAAAAAGAAAAAGAAAAAAGAAAAGAAAAGCCTGCTTGAGTGTAGGTCCTTTGTTGGTGTCCATGAACCAGAGACTCCCTGTTTCTCTCTCCTTGGCTCTAAGCTGCCTGATTAGGCTTCATGACATCACAGAATGTAGGAAAAGTATGAGATTGCCAAGAAGGATGCACAGTATCAAATGCTGCGTCCCAGGGCGTGGGAGACCTGTTCTCGGTGAGCTGGAAAAGGAGCAGCAAGTTTTGGAATGGCTTTAGGTCAGACCCCAGAGCGCTGACACCCATATGTGGAAGGAGAAGGGCGCTTGCTGCAGTGTCGATATCTCCCTGGGAAGATCCTGAGCTCTCTTGTAGGAAGGGAACATCTGTGGCCAATGTCACAAGGGTTTCTTCTTTACCTTCCACTGTCTGGGGTCCACAGCCCAGGACTGACCAGGACAGGTCATTCGTCAACACCCTTCTTGGATCTGCTCTGGTCTTGAGTCACCTGTAGTCCCCCCATGGCCAAATCCCTCATTGGATCCCTCACTGTAATCTCACCATGGATTAGTCAACCCTTCCTTCTTCTTTTTTTTTTTTGAGTCGGAGTCTCATTCTGTCACCCAGGCTGGAGTGCAATGGCACACTCATGGCCACCACAGCCTCGACCTGCTGGGCTCCGGCGATCCTTCCACTTCAGCCTTCCAAGTAGCTGAAACTACATACTACAGGTGTGTGCCACCACATCCAGATAATCTTAAAAAAACAATTTATTGTAGAGACGAGGTCTCCCTAAGTTGCCCAGGCTGGTCTTGAACCCCTGGGCTCAGGCAATCCTCTCAGTCTCCCAAAGCATTGAGATGACAGGTGTGAGCCACTGCGCCCAGTCAACCCTTCCTTCTTAAAACTCTCTTCTATTGTCAACACTGGGACTATACTCCCTCCACCGCCCACAATATCAATGGTGAGCAGAGGATTAAAGAGTAAATGGGAAAATGAAAGTGCGAAGCCAGTGAACCAGGTCTGGACTAGGGTGAGACAAGTGAGGTGCACAGGGTATACAATGAAAGAGGCTCACTTGCAGGGTCACACAAGTGTAGGGGGAACGCTTCCTTAATGTTTGCACACTAGGCACTCAGTTTGTCTCACCCTAGCCTCAGCCCTGCTCACTATGAGACCTGCTGGGAATGTTTGCTTGGGTTTAAGTCACTTGGGCACTGCTACCAGTGTGTATTTTTTCTTCCTACTGCAGGGCATCAATTTGCAACAGAAACCCCAGGGCCTACGAGAGTTGCTAGGCTAAATGAGAATAACCAGGGTATTTGTTCCACTGGTTATCAGAACACAAACACTCCCCATAGAATAGGAAAATACTTTGCTAGGGGAGTAAAGTTAGAGCGCTATTACAATGACTTAGACGGCATGCTCAATGAAGCACTTTCTACCTGCAGGCTTGGCAAGGTCTAGCTCTTCAAACAGATTTGTGAAGAGAGTAGGTGGAAGGGAATAAAAGACAGGAGTTTCCCCTCCAGAGGTGCTGTCACTCCTTCAGTCTTAAAACTGTGAGACACCAGGACAATTTGCAGAATTCAGTAGAAACATTGGTGTGGCTGTAATTGCTGCCTTGTAAAACGTTCTGTTCTTTTTAAAACTTTTGCTAACATTTCCCATGCACGGGGGATGTTGCCTATCATGAGAGGCAATTTAAAAGATGTCACATTCTCCCAGGTTTGTACAGAGCAGGAATGAATAAGTAAGTCATTCAGTGCTGTTTTGGATCTTTGCTCACTTGGGTTTGTCCTTGTAATATGTCATGGGCTCTGAGTTGCCCATGTTTCATTTCCAAGGGGCTCTTTGCAAATCCTTTTTGAAACTGTCATTTGAATCACTGCTCACGAGAACAGCATTTATAATGGTCACATTGTCCAGACTATCTAAATGCCACTTGGT